CCCCCCCCCCTCAGGCCAGGCCAAACCCGACTGCTCCCAGTGCGTGTGTTTACACCTGCGTTCATTCAACAAGCACTCATGGAGTGCCTACTGTGTGCCGGCCTCAGTTCAAGGAACTGGGAATACAGTCAGAAACAAAACAAAACACCTGCCCTTGTGTGCAAGGAACAAAATTAAGTATGAAATTAATAAAGTGTTTTAGATAGCACTAAGTGTTAAAGAGCGGAGAGACATGGGGCAATCTGAGAGGAGGGAAGACCTCCTGGAGGAGGTGACGTTTGAACAAAGTCCAGAAGGAGGAAGCCATGGAGATGTTTGGGGGAGAAGAGCGGCACTGGCAGGGGGAAGAGCATGTGCTGAGGCCCTGAGGCTAGATCATGCCTGATGTATTGAAGGAACCTCAGGAGGCTAAAGCAGAAGCAGGGGAAGCATGGGTGGGACGGGGTAAGGTGGGGTGAGGGGCAAGTCTCACTAACTCAGTCTAGTAGTGGATACCCATCTCCCACATCCTCAGATCAAAGCAGTGCCTGGTGGGATATATGCACCCCAACACCCACATGTCCCAGGTCTGCTGTGTCCCCCAGGTGTCCCTCAACTTACACAGGTGACCTACAAGTGTCCTCACTCAAGGGTGTATACTTGTGGCCACCTACCCCTGACCCTACAGGGTCCACACACAGGCCCCCACTGCCCTCATTCCTGGGTTCACAGCCTCTGAGATGGGGACATACATGCCTCCCATGTGCACTTGCCGACACTCAGAATACATCTCACGTGTCCACACATCACCCCTATCTGTACCAAGTCCTACTATAACCTAACCCACATGCCCTGGTGACAACACAAGTATATGTCCCATGGTCTTTATCATCACACACATGGCCTCATTCATACATTCAACAAACACTCTTTGAGTGCCTATTGTGTCCAGGAGCTGTTTCAGGCAATGGGGACACAGGCATGATCAACAGACAAAATCCCTGCCCTGGTGAACTTAACATCCTGGTTGGGAAAATGGACGGTGGATAGGTCAGATGGTGATAAGTGCTTAGGAGAAACCTCAAGCAGTGAAGGGAGTGGGAGTCCTGGGTTGGCAGGGGCCATTTTAAATACAGGGGTCAGGCCTCTATTTAAAAAAAAGATGACACTTGAGTGAAGACCTGAAAGAAGAGAGAGAAAGGGAAGAGCATTTAGGCAAAGGGAACAGCAAGTGCAAAAGCCCTGAGGTGGGAGCTTGCTCAATATGCCAAGGAATAGCAGGGATGCCTGTGAGGCTGGAACAGTGAGCCAGGGGAAGAGTGGAAGGAGGTAAGGTAGAGAGGTGAGGGGACAAAGTATGCAGGACCCTCAGAGCCTCCAGGAGGACTTGGGTTTTACTCTAACTCATGTGGGAACCAGGAGAGGTTCTGAGCTGAAAAAAGGCACATTCAAGACTGAACTACATATCAAGCAGGAGCTCCCAAGGGCAGAGCAAAGTCCTCTCCTAGCCCCCTCCCCCGCCACACTGAAGACACTACGCACCCCACTACAGAAATGGACTACATTGCCTGGAGCTAGAGTGTATAACACCCACTGCTTACCAGGATCTCAGCCTGAGGTGAGGAAGAAGCCTGGGAAGGCCCTTAGCCAAGCAGAGGCCCAAGTCTCCCAACAGACAGAATCAGCTTCCACCTGCCCTCCCACCCTCCTGCCCTCTCACCTCTTACAACCAAGATCCTGAATCCAGCAAGGAGGCCTGTAGCAGGCACAGAAGTCGGAGGAGGAGCCAAGGGTCCAGCAGGGGCCTCTGAGCTGGGGAAAGGAAGAGGCCAGTGAGAGAGCAGGGGGGAGGAGACTTGGTAACCCCCCAATCCTCCCAGCCCTCCCCCCTGAGCCTGGGACTAGAGCTATGATGCTGAGCCCAGGAGCTCCAACTGTAAATATTTAGCATTTTCTGCATGAGAACTGAGGCTGAATTGCCAGACCTCCTTGCCCAGGCCACCAGAGCCTGATAACACAGGTCAGTGCCCTGGACATTCCCCCCAAAGCAGAACACAGAGCGTGGGAGGCTGCAAGCCCCAGGAAGCCAGCATCAGACACAGATACATGCACATGCACAGAAAAGGACAACAGCCAATGTCAGCAGTGGCACCTGCTGTGTGTCAGGCATGACTCTAAACTCTTTACACCTTTTATCTCATTTAATCCTTACAACCTGAGCTGGCTTCTGTGCATTGCCTCATTTTACAGCAGAGAAAACAGCCTCAGAGAGGGTCAGTGATTTGCTTATGGTCCCACAGACCAAAAGGGTCCACAATGGGATTTGGCCCAGGTAGCTTGGCTCCAAAACTTGCACATGTGTATCTCCACAGTCACATACTCCCATGTGCGCATAACAAGATATGTAAACCACTGCATGAAGCAGCAAAGGTAGACACATAGAATCTGAGCGTGTGTGTGTGTCTGTGTATTTGCCTAGCACATGCATGCACAGATTCCTTTTGCCAAAGGCACAACTGGAAAAGCAACACAGATTCAGGCAGCAGTTGTGTGTTCAAAATACGTTCACACACATACACATCACGACTTAAAGGAAAATTCCTGTGGGCTGAGTGTGTCTGTATCTGTATGTCAGACACATACACATCCAGATACACAGGGTCACACAGACAAGCGCAAAGATGCAGATCAAGTACAGGGTGAGGCACTGATACCCGCCCCTACTCCCACCCCCACCCCGCACATGTTTCCATTTGTCTCCCACACACACTGTCACATCCTCACACTGGGCAAGTCATGCAGGGACAGAAACAGGCAGAAGTAACCATACAGCCATTTTTCAGGGGTACAAAGAGACTCACGCAGAGGCTCCAGAGCACACGACTGGGATCTCCAAGCTGTGTGAAAGCCTCTTCAACCAGCAGCCTTCTTCCCAGTTCCTACTGTCCTGAACTGGTAACCTGAGTGGACTCCTGGGCTGAAGGAGGAAATGGTCCTCCCAGATCTAAGAGAGGCTGCCAGGCTGGGCCCCCCACACTGGGCCCCTTGGCACTCCACCCACAGCCCCCTCTGGCTTCCCCCAATGGCAGCAGAGAGAGAAAAAACCTTCTAAGTCAGAGAGAGGCTGACGGGGAGGGGGGGCGTCTGAAAGACAGAGAAGGGGAGAGATGTGGAGAAAACGGGGAGAGACATGGGTAGGCCAGAGAGAGAGGATATGAGAAATGGGGATAGGGACAGAGAGAGAGAAGAGAAAGATGGAAACTTAGAGGTGATGAAAAGAGAATTGATGGCAGAAACAAAGCTGGAGAGGGAGACAGAGAGCAGGCTAGGATGGGAAGGAGGAGACAAAGTGGGGGAAGAATTGGGGAGGGAGAGACGGACAAGAAGGGAGGCAGATGGGGAGAGGATGCAAATGGGACAGGGAAGGAGATGTTGGGGGTGTTCCTTTGCCTCACCCCAAGGTTCTGGGGAAGAAGCCAAAAGCCTGAGGCCACTCTGGGGCTTTGAGAGGAAACTGGGAGGGGATAAACTTTTCACCAAGCGCCCACAGTGCCCTGAGTTTCCAGAAGGTGAAGTGGAGTTTCCATCCTTAGCCCATACGCAGACAGGGCCCTCTGGGGAAGACAGCTGGCCCTCAGGAGCCGGGGGCCCAAATGAGTAATAGGCCATGGCCCCCTTCTCTCCTTGCTCCCCAAGCGCCTGGAGCCAGTGCACCAAGCACTGTGCATACATCGTCTCTCTTAATGCACGGGTCAGGAATTAAATGATTATCATACCACTTTAGGATACATTAGGAGCCCCAGGGTGCAGAAAGTGGTTCTCAAAATCGCACCAATGTCGGAAATGACGGAGGAGGGATTCGAACCCGTGTTTCATAGCTCGGAGATCCTACAAGGTCACTGAGCAGCGCGGCCCCGCCCAGGTTTCCATAGAAACAGGCACCAGGTGTCTGTCTCCAGAGCCATAGAGCCAATGATTTCCCCCCTCCCCATCCGGTGCGAATTCCCATCTGGTGACGTCACAGCGCAGCGACACCTCACGTGATCACCTCACAGGTGCCGGAAGTGAACCGCACGGCGCCGGAAGCGGCCGGCAGAAGGGCCTCGTGGAGGAGACGCCAGCATGGGGCAGTCGGGACGGGTGAGGTGCGGCGACCCGGGAGGTGGGCAGCGGGGATTCGGGCCCCGCGCAGGCCGCAGGGCTCACGTCTCGCCTCTCGTCCCTATAGTCCCGGCACCAGAAGCGCGCTCGCGCCCAGGCTCAGCAACGCAACCTCGAGGCCTACGCCGCGCAGCCGCACTCGTTCGTGTTCGCTCGGGGCCGCACGGGTCGCGGCATCCGGCAACTTAGCCTGGATCTCCGGCGGGTTATGGAGCCACTCACCGCCACCCGCCTGCAGGTCTGCACCCTCCAGCCCGCCTCCACCTGCCGTGGATCGGGTCTTCGAGGCTGCAGGGGGTGGCTTCAACCTCGCGGGATCTCATTTTCCTTGGCTGGAGAAAGGGACCCTTATGGGGACCATCATTCCTGCCTCTCAGAGCTTTGTGAGGCAGCAGCAGGGGCGTGCGGATGAACACACTCAGTTTAGAGCTTGGCTGAGTGCCTGAGGCTAGTGATTAAGAGGGGACTCTGGAATTGGCAAAGCTGGGTTGGAAACTTGACTTTTCTCAAAGGCCTGCAGTAAGTTAGGTAACCTCGCTGAGCTTCAGTTGGTTCATCTGCAAAACGGGGCGATGCATAGTAAGCAAGGGACAGAGGCGGTACTCGAATTCAAGTCTGATTGACCCTAGAGGCCAAGGCCATTCCATTCCCCCCTTCTCGGAAGGGGTAGATGCAAGAAAGGGCATAACAGTTTAAGCTTATAGTCTTTGCTCAAAAAAGGGATGTCTTTGATCATTTTTTTTTCTCTAATATCCAGATACGAAAGAAAAATTCTCTGAAGGATTGTGTAGCAGTGGCTGGGCCCCTTGGGGTCACACATTTCCTGATATTGAGCAAAACGGAGACCAATATCTACTTTGTGAGTGGATTCCTGCACCCATCTTCCCCACACCCTCCTTCTCCCCCAACTCTCTTGATGAACCAATGTGCCTCTGAGCTGCCATGATTTTGGCTTCAAAGTAAACGCTCTGAAGAGATGGGGCAAAAGTTCCCACTCCTCCTGTTCCCTACCTAGACACCTCCATTCTCATTGTTCCTTTCTTCTTTAGAAGCTAATGCGCCTTCCAGGAGGCCCCACCTTGACCTTCCGAGTCAACAAGGTAAGTCTCGGAGGTGGTATGAGAACCATGTGGGATAGGAGCTGGGTTTGGGAATGATGCCAGCCATGTGTAATTGGCGGGCACCCACTCCTCACCCCACCCTGCAGTACACATTGACGCGTGATGTGGTCTCCTCACTGCGCCGCCACCGCATGCACGAGCAGCAGTTCGTCCACCCTCCCCTCCTGGTGCTCAACAGCTTTGGTCCCCATGGCATGCACGTGAAGCTCATGGCCACTATGTTCCAGAACCTCTTTCCCTCCATCAACGTGCACAAGGTGGGCAGGGCCTTCCATGGTGGCGTGTGTGGGTGGATGGGGCAGGTAGCAGGTACCACACAGGCCCTAGGGTTGACTGCTCAGTTCTCACCTCTCAGCACTGAGGCTGAGAGCTCTGGCTTCCAAGGTCAAGTCTCACTCTTGTGTGTCACGGGGACAGGAGGCTCCCTATGAGCTACCTTCCCATCTGGCAGGTGGAAAATGCTGATGGTGCTTTATTGAGTGCTAGTTTAAGCAGTATACCTGTGTCATCATGGCCTCATCTTAGGGAAGAAAACAGGCTGACAAGTGAAGTTACTAGTTTGAGGTTAGATATAAGACAGCAGCTCCTAATCCCTGGCACCAGCGGGTCTCAAATTCTGCTTGTTAGATGCGATCATCAGGGAGTCTGGAATGGGTGGCCTTGGTGGGTGCTGGAACCAGGATTTCTAGCCAGCAGTCCATGGATACCACTCGCAGCTCCATCAGTCCCTGCAGGGCTTGGCTTGGGCTCCAGCAATGCAGTGAGGTTTAAAGGCAACTGTTGTACCATGCCCTCATCATCTTTCCAGGTGAACCTGAATACCATCAAGCGCTGCCTTCTCATCAACTACAACCCTGACTCCCAGGATCTGGATTTCCGCCACTAGTGAGTACAGGGGCTGGGGAGGGGGGAGTTTGCTCTGTGTGTGGCTGATGACAATGCTGCTGCTGAGACTCAGTGATTGCTCAGTCTCAAAGTAAACGCCCTGACACACTGTGAAAATGGGAGAGGTTAGGCCTGGCCTCCCACCCTGTGACCCCTAATCCCTCTCCTCACTCACTCTGGCCTCTACAGTAGCATCAAAGTCGTTCCTGTGGGTGCAAGTCGTGGGATGAAGAAGCTTCTCCAAGAGAAGTTCCCCAACATGAGCCGCCTGCAGGACATCAGCGAGCTGCTGGCCACGTGAGAAAGGGGTGGAGTTAGAGGCTACCACAGTCCAGGGGACCCCAGGAGCCTGGGATCCCCTGCTGAGCCGTGTGTCCCCTGCACAGGGGTGCAGGGCTGTCAGAGAGTGAGGCAGAGCCTGATGGAGAGCACAATATTACGGAGCTGCCCCAGGCTATTGCGGGGCGTGGCAACATGCGGGCCCAGCAGAGCGCTGTGAGGCTTACTGAGGTGAGGCCCAGTGGCTGTGATGACTTCCTCTGGCAGCCCCCAGCCCTGAGGAAGGACTGACTCTTTCTCCATGTCCCTCCAGATCGGGCCTCGGATGACGCTGCAGCTTATCAAGATCCAGGAGGGCGTTGGGGAGGGGAACGTGCTCTTCCATAGTTTCGGTGAGGACAGGGCTGGGAGGCATGGTGCTTGGGGTCTGAGGCCCTCCAAGGTGGGTTGTTAGATGCAGTGGGCATCCCTGAATCTTGGTGAACCACCTCTTTCTAAGTGCACAAGACAGAAGAGGAATTGCAGGCCATACTGGCAGCCAAGGAGGAGAAGCTGCGACTCAAGGCCCAGAGGCAGGACCAGCAGGCCCAGAATGTCCAGCGTAAGCAGGAACAGCGAGAGGCCCACAGGTGTGTGGTCAGAGGGTGAGGCGGGTCCTGGTGCAGGCTGCCACACTGATCAACATTCCTCTCCTTCAGGAAGAAGAGCCTAGCAGGCATGAAGCGGGCAAGGGCAGAGGCCGATGGGGATAGTGATGCTGAGGATCCCGGGGCCCCCCCCGAGGCAGAGGGGGCTGTCCAGCAGGAGGAGGAGGATGAAGCTGAGTATTTCCGCCAGGCAGTGGGCGAGGAGCCTGATGAAGGTGCGTGGCAGGGATCAGTGCAGCTGGGCACTGGAACCTGTCTCTGTGCTCTGGTGACCCTGACACAGTCTTTCCTCACAGACATGTTCCCAAAGTCCCGGCGGAGACGGCCCACTGGGCCCCCAAGCAAGAAGCGGCAGGTAAAACAGCGGAGACCAGACCGTAGCAGTGACCAGAGACCTCCAAAAGCCAAGGGCAGGCCCTGGGGGACCCAGGCCAAGCTGGGGCCTCGAGGGGCTGCTCAGGACTGTGGCCGAGGCCGAGCACAGCCACCTAAAAGAGTGGCCTGAGGCTGAGCAGCGGAATGCCCCAGATTGGGGCCCCAGAGATGCTGCCCTGGACTTCTACATGGGCATGCGGGTGCAGCCCTCAGTTTCCTTTCATAAAGGAGCTGGTTCCCCAATCTCCAGTCTAATAAACACTGATTTCCCATGAGTCAGAGGCTGCGTTTGGAATGAGGCAGGGGGACCAGGGGCCAAAGGCGCAGAGAGGCCAGTAGCCCCTTGGCCCTTCCCCAGTCTTCCTCAGACTCAGGCTTCCTGCCAGCAGAGAGGCCAAGTCTGGAAAGTCCCATGAGGAAGGAAATGGGTGGCCGGTGCCTGACTAGACCTAGTTTTGCTCTGAGCTGTAGGTGGAGCTGTGAGGGCAGTGGCCAAGAGGCTGCTGTTCACTGGGGGAGGGACCAGGATGCATTGTGGGCCTCAGACCCAAAGGCAGGGCGAGGGCCATGGCAGACACAACCTCAGGTAAGGAGGGAACATAGGGACCCTAGCCCATGTAGCCCAGTCTAGGACTGGGGGTGGAGATGATGTAAGAATCGTTTCTGAAAGGCAGCTTCCTCCCAGAGCCCTGGAACAAAGAGCTGAGATAGTAAGGCAGAAGTGAGAGTAGAAACGGTCTGTGGTAAGGGAGGGTCTGTACCTAGCATAGTAGCCAGCCTGCTGGATCCACTGGGAACAAGCCTTTCTCAGAAAGCTGAGATTAAGTGGGGCAGGGGGGAGTGAGGGAATTAACTGCAGGGCTCTGCTCTCCCCACACTGGAGTGCCCCAGGTACTGTTCTGGGCGTTGGGGAGCCCCAAGCCAGCACTCCCTGCCTTCAGAAGGGACTCTTCCCTGGGGATTTTACTTGAATGAAACAGCGATCAGATGGAGGTATAGGCTGTTCTGAGAAAAAAATGAGCAGGGAAGGGGTCTAAGAGGTGCCGTGGCAATGTTAGGGAGATAAGAACCAAAGGCGAAAAAGCCTTCAGGATGTCTGTGACTCATGCTTTTGCATGAATCACCAAAGTGCAAAGGCCCAGAGGCAGAATGTGCCTAACGAACATTCATGAAGCTGACTGGAAGTCATGGGGAGCAGGAGATCCCTCAGGGTCTCATGGAATGGAGCAAGCACTGGCTTTTCCTCCCAGGATAGAGGGAGCCCTAGAGTAGTAGCCTGTGAGCAGAGGAATGTGACCTTAGGTGCTCACAGGTGCTCTCCAGAGGCACTGGGGAGAACAGACCTGGTGAGATGGGGAGCTGGGAGACCAGGGCATAGGCCGTTGCTGGTCCAGGTGGGAGGTGACGTGGGTTTGGACACTCTTGGTACTAAGGGAATGACAGATGCTGAGGGTGGGGACTTGCTGATGGATTGAGCTTGGAGGGTTGCAGTAGGGTCTGAGATTCCCATGGGTTCCTGTTTCTCCACCCCCCGGCCCTGATAGCTCCGTTTACTACTAGTTTACTTGGGTCCTGCAAGGGCAGCAGTCCCCCCATGGTTCTTGAAGGTGCAACACCCTGAGAGAGCCAAGTGAACTCTGGGCTTCTGACCTTTCTAGGCCTGATTCCCTCTGTAAAAAGGACCTGAGGCTGGTGCCCCTCCTGGGAGTAAATAAGACTTAGCAAATATCTGCATACAAAGGGGTCATGTAGGCTGGCACACAGCAGGTACTCAGGACTGATGCCATAGCACAGTGCAGCTCTGAAGGCAGGAGCCACATTGAGGAACAGGGTTCACTCAGCAATACCCTCATCCACAGGTGTCCCACACTGCCCAGCCAACATCTCGGCAGCTGCTGACCAAATCCTCAGTGGCTTCCAGGAAGGTTTCCTGTGGCCTGTGCTGGTGACTGAGTTTCTGGTGGCAGTGGCTGGTAACAGCCTGGCCCTTTACCGCTTCGGCACACAGGAACAGCGCCCATGGCACCCAGCTGCGGTCTTCTCAGCCCAACTGGCTGTCTGCGACCTGCTCTACGCCCTGACATTGCCCCCACTGGCTGCCTACTTCTACCCACCCAAACACTGGCGCTATGGGGAGGCTTTGTGCCGCCTGGAGCGTTTCCTCTTTGTCTGTAACATGCTGGGCAGCGTCATCTTCATCACCTGCATCAGCCTCAACCGTTACCTGGGTGTCGTGCACCCGTTCTTCACCCGCAGTTACCTGCGGCCCAAGCACGCCTGGGCTATTAGTGCTGTAGGCTGGGTGCTGGCAGCCCTGCTGGCTGCACCCACACTCAGCTTCTCCCACCTGACGACACCACAGCAGGAAGGCAACTGCACTGTGGCGAGGCCTGAGGCCTGCATCAAGTGCCTGGGAACTGCGAGTGACAACCAGCTGGAGGCCTACACAGCCTACAGCCTGGTGCTGGTGGCACTGGGCTGTGGGCTGCCACTGCTGCTCACCCTGGCAGCATACAGCGCCCTCGGGCGGGCCATGCTGCGCAGCCATGGCATGACAGCAGCCGAGAAAATGCATGTGGCAGTACTGGTGGCCAGTGGTGTGGTGCTCTATGCTAGCTCCTATGTGCCCTACTATGTCACAAAGGTAATCAACATCTTTGCCCGGAAGCAGTGGAGAAACCGCTGCCCATCCTTTGTCGACATAGCTCAGGCTGTGGAGGCACTGGACCTGAGGTCATATGTGGGCCATCAAGTGACGCGGGGCCTTGTGCCCCTGGCCATCTGCATCCACCCACTGCTCTACATGGCTGTAGCACCCAGCATAGGCTGCTGCCCTGGCTGCAGGGAGGGCCAGGCCCCAGAGAACACTGAGAGCTCTAGCCAAGCCCTGCCCCTAAATGTCACAGCCACCAAAACCTTGGGGCCCCAGTCCCCTGAGCTGAGCCCATGACCCAGCAGCAGAACCCAAGCCACTTATGCAACAAAGGCCTGTCATGGAGCAGGAAGCACCCAGGCCAAAGTGGCAAGAATTTCTGCCCACAGCACTAACCACGAGCAAGACTGGAGAGCAAACCCACGAAGGGGGAAGATGGAGCCAAGCTGCCGCAAGGTGGTCAATATTCTTATATAAACAGGACACACATAAGGCAGCCATTGGAACCTTTTTATTGCCCTTGTAGTCCCCTGCTTTCGGAGGCCGTCTTCTGTTGCCACAGGATCCTAGGGCCAGGGACCAAACAGCAGCAGCAGCAGTCACAGCTGTCTTAGTTGGTGGATGGCCTGAGAGGAAAACAGGAGTGATGAGAAGGGAAAGTGTGGGGGCTTCAGGCCCCAAAAGGAATCCCCAACCCCCCACACACATACACACACAAAACTGGGGCCTCTGGGGGTAGGGCAAGGGAAAGGACACATGAAGCCAGACCAGCAGCAACCAGCCAGGCCTGGGATGGCACTGGCCCCTCCTCAAGATGAAAAGGACAATAAATGACTTGCACCTCAAAACAGGCTTGGTAATTATTAAACTGGTGTGGGGCCGCAATTAGTCCGAGTGTCGACTGTGACATAGTGATTGGACAGGGGAAGGGTCTTACTTGGCCCACTCGACATTGAGGATGAGGTGGTCATAGCCAAAGCCAGACACTCCGGCAATGGCGCGGGCAGCATCCTCACGGCGGTGGAAGCTGATGAAGGCAAAGCCCTGGGGAAGGAGAGGAAGAAGAGTATTCAGGGCACAGCTAGCCAGATGACCCCTCCCCACGGATGGCTGCCAGCCCACCTTGGACTGGCCGGTGGTCTTGTCCTTCGCCAAGTAGATGCGGGAGATGGAGCCGAAGGGCCTAAAGAGCTCTTGTAGGTCCGTCTCACGGGTGTCCTCTGACAGGTTGGTGACGCGGATGGTGGCATTGTCATCAGCTAGGAATCAGGCAAGGAGAATCAGCTGTGAGTGGCCGGGCGAGCTTGGGCCCTACCCACAGGATAATCACTGGGTGTTGGGAGGAGCCTGCCCACAGGCAAGCATCAGGGTGCCCTCACTGCCTCACCTCTGCGGTTGGGCTGCATGGACTCCCCACGGCGGCTGGCCCCGTCCCGCAGGCTCGGTGGCACGTACTTCCCTGTCTTGTTCTGGGCTGCCTGGACAGGCTCCAGCTCTGGAAACCAAAAGCACAGCTGGGTCAGTCCTCACCCTAGCACAGCAGAGGGACAGAACCACCCAGGATGCTGGCAGTTTCAGCCCTGACCCAGCCTAGGCACTGTCTGTCAAAGCCGCAGGCAACCAGTTGGTCCCTCAGAGAACTGGTGGCCATGACAACATAAAGGTCACATCCAGGAAACCGGCAGCACAGAGCAAGAAACCATAGGTGTTGATACAGTCTGAGGAGCCCACAGGGCTGAGAGCTAGAAGAATGCCTCCCTACCCAACATAGAGGAACACAAGCACAGTCAAGGGCAAGGACAGTCTCCAGGTCCCACACACACGGCAGTTAACAAGTATGCCACACACACAAAAGTCAGATGTAGAGTTGTGGGAAACACCATCAGCAAATCATGCTGAAGGACATGGATTGTGGACAGTCACGTTTGTGAGTCTGCTCATAGGTGTCACTTGCACACACAGAAACACATGCACGGGAGGCAGCCATGTTCATGGCAGACAGACACAGAACACAGTGGGAGAGTCTCACATACAAGGGTCCACCATCTCCCAACTATGCAGTGTAGTTACAAACAGGCATTCACACGGGTGGTTCTCACAGCTCCCAACAAAAAGAGACAGGTGACATCACCAGCAGTCACAGCACCTACCTGGGTAGTCTCTCACACACACACAAAACAGGGACTGTGATCACAGCTTTTGCAATGGTATGCTGTAGTGTGGAAGATGATAGCTACAAAAGGGACAGCCCGCTCACACAAAGCAAGTGACAACCTAGGACTCTCCAGGCACATACAGCACCCCCAACGTCCTCAATGACCTGCCAGCCACACCCCCAGATCATATCACCTCCAGGCAGTTTCTCCTTTTCGCCGGTGGAAAGGCCCAGTTGCTCAGCTAGCTCCTTCTGCATGGGCCCCAGCGTGTCCTTATAAGGGCAGCGGGTGGTCCAGTGGTCACCCTTGCAGATGCGGCAGGACACAATCTTCTGGCCCTTGAGCTTATTCATTGGGTCCTCCTCCTCCTGGCAGTTCAGATCCTGGCAGGGCAGAGGGAGGCAGTTCAGAGGGGCACAGCCCCATCACCACCCTGGCCACCATGACCCCACCCTATTGCACCACTTACCTCCTTGCTGGTGATAAAAGTCATGGACACATCATCACTGACTGTGGTGGTGGCCACATTGGGCCCTGGTGGGTCAAACTCTGAGTTCCCAAACTTCTTCCAGTTCTGGGCTCAGGGCAGAGTGGGGGACAGGTCAGGGCAACAGTAGCATCACTCTGCACCCCAGACCTACAGTAGCCCCTTTCAGGGTGTCTTGAACTTAAATCCCATTCTCCACCCTCTCCAAATGTCCAGTCCCCATCTCCCCCCAAGCAGTGACAATGACAGTTCCTATTTCCTGAGAGCATGCCAGGCCCTAGTTTCATGTCAGCTCCAAGACACCAAGCAGGTCTCAGCCCCATGTTCTAAATGAGAGAAGAGAGGCTCAGGGGGAAACAGCTACACAGCCAACAATTCCTGGGGGACCATGCAGGTGGTAGGCCAAGGAGTGATGCTCAGGGGTGTGCAGGGGTCACCCAACCTCAAGGGGCCTAGGGCTAGCTGAACAACCTAAGCCTCAGCTTCCTCTTCTATAAAGTGGGGACCATAAATGCTCCCCACCTCCCTGCATTGCTATGGGGACCAAACGAGAAAACTCCTCCTACAAAGCATATGGCATGAGGCCTGGCACAAAGTGCACAGATAACTGTGCCAGATCTACTTATTGCTATCGCTTCTTCTGCTATGACCACCTTAGGGGAGCGCTTGGCTCTGTTCCTCATGGTACAGAAGCCAAGTAGAGTAAGAAACAACCTCACCCATTCCTGCATCCTGGACTTTTTGGGACCCCAACAGAGTGCAAACCCCCTAGGCCTCAGTTCTCCTCCAACAAAATAGGTAAATGAGTTATACCTCACTTCTGAAAATAAAGGCACTGGGAAAAAGAATTAATTCCTCTGAGTCAGCCCTCAGGGACGCCCAAGAAAAGGGAGCGGGGTCTCACCTTCCTTCTTGCAACAGCCTTTGAGGCCTTCCGGGTCTCAATTCTGAAGGTACGGACAATCTGGATGGGAGAGGAGATGTTTGGGCTACCTGTACCTCAAGGATCCTGGGCCCAGGGGATGTTCCTCACCAACCCACCCAACACATGCCACCCCCTCCTGGTCCAAGTACCCCACCTCCTCACCCAGCCTCACCTTGAACTTCTTGCCATCCTCATCTATCTTATACTCGGTCACTGTCTTGATGTTTCCACTGACCACCTCCTTGGGAGGCGGAAGTGGAGCTGGGACAGGAAAAGAGGTGAAAGGAACTGAGCCATATGCAATGGGGGTTAGGGAGGAATGTGGTTAGGGAGAGAGGTGGCTCAGGGATGGAGTGGAGGTTGTCACTCACCTCCTGGTAGTAGCTCAGGCTCTGGGCTCCTGTCGCCAGTGGCCAAAGGGATCCCCTTGAGGAGCTCACTAGTGACACATTTGTCTGTGAAAGGGAGTGTGGGGAGAGGGATGAGGTGGTGGAGCAGGAGTTCCCAAGCTAAAAAGAAGGGACCTTTGGGATGATGCCCATACCAGGAGCTCACAAAGGCAGGGCCAAGGCCAGAGGACTGGCCAGGAAGTGCCTTGGGATAGCCGTGCGGGGGACACCTGAGCTGGCTGTAATAACCTCAAGCAATGGCAAGGACAGGGCACCCTTGGCATGAAGGCAGGGGCGGGCCACCAAGGCATCCGGGTGCTGGCACAAAAGCAGGAGGTAGACTGTTACAACTTCTTCCCCGGAGTAGAGGAGTGGCTGTGGGGACTTGGGCGGTGGCATGGAAGAAAGGGGCTGGCCAGTGAACATCTGGAATTGGCGATAGCCTGGCCCATATAAGAATGGCGCGGCAGAGGCGTCCGTGAAGGGAAATGCGGGGTCGGACGGAGGTGCCAAGGTGGGGGGCTGGAGCAGGCGGTAGTTAGCGGGCTGGGGGCTGGCCGCGGTGACCCGAGGCGACCAGGCATACTCACCGTCCTCTACCTCCTCCTCCACCTGGTCGGCCCAGCTGGGCTTCGAACTGCCGGGACAAGTTTGTGGAGGAAAAGGGGTGAGTCAGCGAAGCCCGCCTCCGGCAGCCTGGGCGCACCCAGGCCCATAACACCCCCTAGGACCCCCAAATCGCCTCCGGAGCCCTTCTCCCCGACCCTCAACTCACTCAAAGTCTCCAGTAGGCATTGCAAAATCTCCTCCACGCAGCCCAAGCCTGGGCCAGAGACCGGAAGGAGAGAATGAGACTTCCGGTTCGTGGCCTACACCAGCCCGCCGGGTGTCCCACAGCGCCCCCTACAGTCAGAGATGTCTGGTATGTGAGCGGCGCATCTCAGGGCTTATCCCATTACCATTAAAAAAAGTTTTAATCCCAGATGAGAAAAAAACTAAAGGAATTTATTACCAGCAAACCAATATTATAAGAAATGTTAAAGGGACTTCTTTAGGAACAAGAAGAAGAAAGATTAAAAATATAATAGAATGGCAATAACCACTTACCTATCGATAACTATTTTATTTTTCTAATCTACCTCTATTATTGAAAGTATTACAGATGTCCCCTTTTTTCTCCCCACTGACGNATGTTGTCTTAAAGGGTAAGACGGCCTTCTTTTTAATAGCTGCATAGTATTCCATGGTGTAAATATACCACAGCTTTTTTATCCACTCATCTACTGATGGACACTTGGGCTGTTTCCAGATTTTAGCTATTGTAAATTGTGCTACCATGAACATAGAGGTGCATAAGTTCTTTCTGATTAGTGTTTCAGGCTTCTCAGGATATATTCCTAGAAGTGGGATCACTGGGTCAAATGGCAGTTCC